AATACAAAACTAACGAATCATAACTCAATAATCAAATTATAAGGTTACAAAGGGGACTGCATACTTGCTATACTTTAAATATTTGCTGCTAGCTAATTTTATTAAACATTTTGTGCTTTATTTCTATCTAGCCAACCAACGTCAAGGTCTACAGCCTGGCATAGATGTGTTGTTAAATGGTACTGCACATTTTATTGTCCCAACCAAACCGAACATTGAGTCATTTACAATGTGTTTTTGGATATCTTCGAATGCAACCACACCAAAATTGGTGAACATTACCGTTGAAACCAATATGGAGATGTCATTGGATGTTTTCATTTGCCGGTAAGTATTTTATTAACATTATATATTATACGTCCATTATCTTATTTTAGAAAGTAAACACAAGTTGAGACAATTGAATAAGTAGCTTTAACACATCAATATCAGTCATGATGCATCAGAAAACAATAGACATCAAGCAASCAACACAGACTTAGTAAAATTAGTAAAAGGAGCTCAATAGACTAATTTAGGAACTTTTTGTTTTTAATCGCTACAGGTCTGTTTGGAGACACATATGTGTATCGTTTCCCTATGGGGTATATGTGATTTATGTCGATGGAGTACAGAACAAGACAGTGTATACTGGAAATGAACTGTGGAAGCTAAACGGTAAAATTAAAAACATGCTTATTAATTGCTCAATATTTTCCTGGTTGTAATACCGTCATTACTAAGAGCCAGTTATATGACAAATCTTTAGTTTTACGAAGACAAATCTATGAAATAAGGAGAATAATTCCATTAAGTCCCGTTTACACTTGCGATTTTTGACCATCCCCTGAGTTTCGAACATGCTTGGAATTTTCGATTGCCGCAACAATCGCAGGGCTGTTTTACATATACGATTTGAGTTGCGCGATAAGAAAGTGACGCGCTACAAATATCGCAAGTGTGAACGGGCCTTTAAATAGACATCTTCAGACCTTGTCGTTGTAGTACCGTACGCTGCGCTAGTGTTAGTCCAGTCGTCCTCTATGGGACTTGAGAGGCTGGAGAGATTAAAACAGTCAAGGCATTTTTGCATTTATTTGAATAGAACTGCAAACATATTTCCCTTAAAATATGCAACTTTTGCTTGGCCCCGACGCTGGCTCACAACGGAGTCAATGTCACAGTTGTTCAACGAAATATTTCAGATGAACCTCTATGTTGTATAATTCCCACAGTGCTCAAGCTATAGGATTAATCACTGACGACGTTCTTTATTATTCTTTTCCGAATTTTAGGTTCAGACATAAAGCTTTCCATCACTTCATCTGATCTCATTAATATTAAGCTAACCAGTCTTAATACGTGGGACGCTTTTCTCGAAGAGGACGCTATACTATATATGTCTTACAGTTGTAGAAATCACAGGGGAAATATGACTATCTGGGAGGAGTTCGTTAAGAATATTTCAATGGTTACCAGTTCAAACACTTCAGTCATTCACTATAACAGAACATCTTGCGAAGGAAAAAAAGGTAAATAATGGTAAATAAGCAGTACTTGTTCACATTTAAGACTTATTCT